CTAGTCCACTCCATGGATCTGAGTCCCAGTTTTCTTTTCATCACTATTGGTTCCCTGTGCATTTTGCTTCATTTCACTTCATATAGCCTTCATTTTTTTCACCTAATTTGTGAATAAAATAAACCAGTTCTGTGAGCATCCTGATCATCAGTGTTTTTGAACTGTGCATCTCATAGGTTGGCTATGTCTTGGTTGCTTAAAAGTATTGGCTCCAGAGCCTTGATTTGTTTCTCTGATTCAGCCATTTTTTGTCAGGTCATGCCTATTATGTATGAGTGGCAGAGCCTTCAGTGTTCACCTAGGTGGGTCAACCCAGATGGCTGGGTTGTGATGCTGTATGGTCAGAGAGGGAATACTGGTGCTCGATCCACTCTCTCTCAGATTTTGATGCCCTCTGCCACTTCCCACAAGCAAATTGGGTCCTTCTCATGGTGGTTCCTGGGTAGGTGGGCTTGTATACATTCTAGGACCCTGTGGGTTTCTCTCACAAACTCTCCCATGAGGCCTGGAGCCACTCTTACCATCTCAACCCCCACAAGCTTTTCAATCGATGCTTCTAGGTTTTATTTCCTGTCACTGGTGCCCTGGGTTGCATAGTCTGTCTCACTGCCCACTTTTTTTTTTTTTTTCTTGGTTTATCTGTGTCTATCTGTGAAATGTGTGGCCATGGTCAGCCAACCACCTCTGTGCTTTACTGGGTTTGCTCATTTCCTCCCTTGCTTGGGTCTGCTAACCACCACCTTTTCCTGCCAGGACCCCTCTAATCCCGCTGCTGACTCTGCCCCTCTTACCAGTCTGGATGAATAGTTTGTTGTGTCGGACTTCGGTACAGTTCAGTTTCCTGTCTGTTCTGCTTGTGTTTTTGTTTTTCATTCTTTGTTGTCCTTAAATTTGGTTGTGCAAGGAGGTACAGTGTTTCCACCTATGCCTCTATCTTGGTCAGAAGTCCTAATACCCACTGTTATTAACCACACTCACCATACATTACATCCTCATGATTTAATTATCTAGTAAGTGCAAGTTTGTACCTTTCACTATGCTCAACCCTTTGGCCCACCCTCCACCCTCTGCCTCTGGCCACCAGCAATCTCTTGTCTCTAGCTATGAGTTTGATTTGTTTTTAAGTTTTCACATTTAAATGAAATGATATGGCTTTTCTCTGCCTGATTTACTTCATTTAGTCTAATGCCTTTATGGTTCAATCACATGCACAAATGGCTGCTTTTCCTTCTATTTTATGACACAAACACATTCCAGTGTGTATATAGTGCATTTTCTTCATCATTCACTTATTAACAGACACTGAGGTTGTTTCCTGATCTTGCCTATTGTAATTAATGTTGCCACCAACACAGGGGCGCATATGTTTTCTCAAGTACGTGTTTTCATTTCCTCCAAATAAGCACCCAGAGTGAAATTGCTGAAAATTAAGGAAGCTCTGAATTTAATTTTGAGGATCTGTTGCAGTGGCTTCCATAGCAGCTGCCCCAGCTTACATTCCAGGGCACAGTGCAAGGGTGCCCCTTTCTGTACTTTCTTGTCATCACTCATTCATTGAGATTTGCCAGACCACTCAGAGACGTGAATTGTGGGGACACAACCATGCAAATCCTACCTCCTTTAGTCCTTTGCTTGCACAAGACAATTTTCTTTGCAATATGTGAGGAGTTCTGGGTGGGAGGGGCATAGAGCTAGTTCACATGTTCCCTGAGGCAGGGGGAGCCCCAGGTACTGTGGTGCCTGATATTTATACTAATGATGAGATCACTGCTTCAAATAAAAAGAGCAAAGAAACATGTGGCACCTATTAGTTTTTCCAAAAAGGGAAAACACATCACATCAAGCAAGAAAAGCTAAAATTGCCCTGGCTGGTGTGGCTCAGTGGATTGAGCAGTGGCCTACACATCAAAGGGTTGCCAGTTCAATTCCCAGACAGGGCACTTGTCTGGGATGGGAGCCAGGTTTCTTCCTGGGTGTGTGAGAGGAAACCACACAGTGATATTACTCTCCCCTTCTTTCTCCCTCCTTTCCCCCTCTCTAAAAGTAAATAAATAAGTATTTAATATATTTTATTAATTATGCCATTACAGTTGTTCTATTTCCCCCTTCATTCCCCTCCACCCTGCACATCCCCTCCCCCACCATTCCTCCCCCTTTAGTTTATGACCACGTGTCTCGGTTTCTTTAGATTCTATATTTCCCATACTATTCTTGCTCTCCCCCTATCTATTTTCTACCTACCATCTATGCTACTTATTTTCTGTACCTTCTCCCCCCTTCTTCTTCTCCCACTCCCCTGTTGCTAACCCTCCATGTGATCTTCATTTCTATGGTTCTGCTCCTGATTTAGCTGTCTTCTTAGTTTGCTTTGGTTTTAGGTGTGGTTCTTAATAACTGTGAGTTTGCTGTCCTTTCACTGTTCATCTCTTTCATCCTCTTTTTCTTAGGTAAGTCCCTTTAACACCCCATACAACAAGGGCTTGGCAATGATGAACTCCTTGAATTTGATCTTATCTGAGAAGTACTTTATCTGCCCCTTCACTCCAAATGAAAGCTCTGCTAGATAGATCAATCTTGGATGTAGGTCTTTGGATTTCATGACTTGGAATAACTCTTTCCAGCCCCTTCTTGCCTGTAAGGTCTCCTTTTAGAAATCCACTGACAGTCTGATGGGAACTCCTTTGTAGGTGACTGTCCCCCTATCTCTTGCTGCTTCAACGATTCTCTCCTTCATTTTAATCTTGGCTAATGTAATGATGATATGCCTTGCTGTGTTTCTTCTTGGGTCCAACTTCTTTGGGACTCTCAGAGCTTCCTGGATTTCCTGGAAGTCTATTTCCTTTGTCAGATTGGGGAAGTTCTCCTTTATTATTTATTCAAATAAGTTTTCCACTTGTGGCTGTTTCTCTTCCCCTTCTGGTACCCCTATAATTCAGATGTTGGAACATTTAAAGATATCCTGAAGGTTCCTAATCCTCTCCTCATATTTTTGAATTCTTATTTCTTCATCCTTTTCTGTTTGGTCATTTTTTCCTCCTTCTGGTCCACTCCTTTGATTTGAGTCCCAGTTTCCTTTCCATTACTATTGGTTTCCTGTGTATTTTTCTTCATATCAATTAGTTTAGCTTCCATATGTTCCTCTAATTTATGACTAAAATCAACCAGTTATGTGAGAATCCTGAACATCAGTGTCCTGAACTGTGCATCTGAAAGTTTAGCTATTTCTTCATCGCTTAGATTTATTGGCTCTGGGGCTCTGAGTTGTTCTTGAGCCATGTTTTGATCTGTTCATGTCTGTTAAGTATAAGGAGCAGAGCCTTAGTTGTTCACCAGGGCGGGGCTACCCAGGTCGCTGTTTTGTGACACTGTATGTGGGGACATGGTCATTGAGGGGCCACCCAGGTCGCTGGTTTGTGATTCTGTACGTAGGGGTGTGGTCAGAGAGGGACAATGGCCACTTTGTCCTCTCTGCCACTTTCCACCACTGTGGCCTGTGCGGTCCGTCTCACCACCGCTAGCTCCTTCACCAGTTTCTCTGTGTGACAATGTGTTACCATGCTCTGCCCTCAGTGGGTCCAACGCCTTGGGCCCTCAGTGAGTCCGCCCGCTTCTCCACACCTGGGATCCGTCCACAGCTGCTGGCACACTTGGGTCACGTGCCTGGGTTGGTCCAGTGGATCTTTCCTGCCTGACCCCGCTCTGCTGCTGGCTCTGCCCCACTTACCAGTTTGGCTGAAGGGTTTATTGTTGTCAGACTTCCATGTAGTTCAATTTTATGTGGTTTGGCTGCATTTTTGTTGCTAAAACATTATTGTTTTTAAACTTGGTTGTGTGAGAAGGCAAAGTGCTTCCACCTACGCCTCCATCTTGGCGAAAGTCTCTAAATAAGTTTTAATAAATGCTGAAAACCAAAATATGAGAGAACACTTATGAACTATTTTCATTAATGTGTGGTGTCCCTTTCTGACACTCCTGCATGTCACATCTTCCCCACATTGTCGACGGATCCCGTTTAATTTCTTCTTTATGAGACAATAATTCTGTCTTATAGAAACATAGATACTATACTAAGAATCATTATTAATCATTATCATAATATAATATTTATATCATATACAAATAGGAGGAGAATCACTACATCCTCTGGCACAGGAGACTGACACTTCACTTTCCAGCATAGTTTAGAGACTTTCATTGGTCACACAACTTGTTTAAAAAACACTCTGAATTGTTATACTTCATGGTCGTGTTTGAAAAAACATTCATCAAGTTTCATTCATAAAAGAGCAGCAGGATTGCAGGTTATTTCCACACATCCCTGGAGCCCTTGTGGGGCTCTGAGAGGGCACTGAGCTGGTGAGGGGCCCTGAGGATGGAGCTTTCTGAGTTTAATGTGTCAAGTTTGTTGCTGTGCTGAGATCCATTTGGGTCCCCTGGAATGGAGTGAGCTCTCCCATCACACACCCCATTTCAAGGGTGCCTGTGTGTCATCACTGTCCCCCATATCCCCATACTCCAGAAGGCCATCACTTGTGGCCCATGTCCCCAAAGAGACCTCAGAGCAAAGGGCATTAATACACAGCCCCACCCCCACCCCCTGGGTACCAGCCTCCACTGCAGTTGGGTCTAATTTCCTTCTACTCTCACCAGCACTTGTGCTGTCTAAAGAAAATATAAAATTATCCTCATCCAGGATGTTCAGTGGATTCAGGTGGGGGATGGGTGCTCTGAGCCAGTAGGACCAGTTCTGACTGCCATGTGCCCTGGGTGACCTCCCTCTTGAGTTAGGTGATCACATTCAGCTTCCCATCTGGACAAGCCTCTCAAACTCTGGGGATGTTGGTATAACCACTTGGAGGATCTGGCAGAGGGCTGAGCTGAGACAGTGGTGATTTCTCAGCCCCTTCTCCACCCCCACAGCATGTGGAGCCCAAGTTCCCCTTCCAGGCCTGGCCACAGCTCTGTCACCAATGACTTTCTGTTAAGGCGTCCTCTGCCCCACCCCACAGCTCAGCATTTCCCTCACCGACACAGGGACTGGGACCCACTCTGCCCTGTGAGAGGCACACATGGTGCTCCTGCTGCTGCTGCCCCTGCTGTGGGGGGGTGAGTGATCCCCGGAAAAGGGGTTGGCCTAGTGGGGGAGCAGCTGGGGCTGAAGCTGAGTGTCTGTGTTCCCCCAGGGTCCGTGCAGGAGAAGACAGGCTATGAGCTCCAAATGCAGGAATTGGTGACAGTCCAGGATGGTCTGTGTGTCCACGTGCCCTGCTTCTTCTCCTACCCGTGGAGTTCATGGTCTTCCTCTAGTGAACTCTACACCTACTGGTACCGGAGGTGGGACAACACAGGTTATACTGATCTTGTGGCCACAAACAACCGAAATAAAGCAGTGAAGCGGGAGACCCAGGGCCGATTCCTCCTCGCAGCCCCCAGGACCAACAACTGTTCCCTGAGCATCAGAGACGCCAGGAAGAGTGATGCAGGAACCTATGTCTTCCGAGTGGAGAGAGGATATAATGTGAAATATACTTACCAAGATAAGATGTTGACTTTGCATGTGACAGGTATGATAGGAGGCTGGGAGAGGACTCTGAGTTATGGGATCTTATCTTAGAACAGGAACAGGACAGTGGGACACTCCCTGATTCAGACCATGGGCCCAGAGTGGTCAGAGGACACACAGGACTCAGGGAGAGCTCAGGTTCCTACTCTAAGTTCCCAACCTCTGTAGGGAGGAGTCCCCAAGCACCTCCCTCTCTCCTCCTCAGAACTGACACAGAAGCCAGACATCCTCATTCAGGAGCCTCTGCAGTCTGGCCGCCCCACACAGCTGACCTGCATCGTTCCAGGGGCCTGTGAAGGGGGAAGATCTCTCACCTTCTCCTGGGCAGGAGCTGCTGTTTACTCTCTGAACCCCCAGAACCTCCACTCCTCAGTGCTCACCTTCACCCCGAAGCCCCAGGACCATGGGACCAACCTCACCTGTCAGGTGAAATTGCAAAGATCAAGGGTGACTACAGAGAGAACCATCTGGCTTAATGTCTTCTGTGAGTGTGGCAGGGATGGCTGGTGTCCTAGAGGCAGTGGGACTGGTGTGTGGACATGTGTGTGTGCGTGTGCACAGGAGGCTGAGATAACCTGAGAACATTTGTGCATGGATCTGAGTGCTTGCGGGCAGTGAGCCAGAAAGACAGCAATCCCACCTTCCCAGTTCCCACCCTCCTGCTTCCTGCTGCTCCTCCCCTCTGAATTGGGGCCATATCTTTTTGTCCCAGATGCCCCCAGGAAGCTCACCATTGATGGATTGTACAGAAATATCACAGGTAGGGAAGAACCTCCCTCTCTGGGGCTGGGACCTGCCCCTGGGGCCACCATGAAGCTGAGGGGGGATCAGAGTGTGAATGGGATCAGATATGGGAGAAACAAGGAGGAGAATCACCACCCTCCCTCCCTCACCTCTTCTGGGTGAGTGCCTGCCCTGTGTTCGTTCTCTCTCTGTCTCTGTCTCTGTCTCACTCTCTCTCTCTCTCCCCACTTCTTCCTCCAAAGCCCTCAAGATTCTGCAAAGCACTTCATCCCTTCCCATCTTGGAGGGTGAGGCTCTGCAGCTGCTCTGTGTGGCTGACAGCAACCCCCCTGCACAGCTGAGCTGGTTCAAGGGGTCCTCAGCCACGAACGCCACCCCCATCTCCAGCACCTCCATCCTGGAGCTTCCTCGAGTGGGGACTGGGGAAGAAGGAGAGTTTACCTGCCAGGCTCAGCACTCCCTGGACTCCAAAAATATCTCTTTCAGCCTCTTAGTGGTCTGTGAGTGTGGGGGCCCCTGAGGGCAGGACAGGTGGGTTTGGGGAGGGCAGCGAGACTACTGACACTTTTCACTCCCCACAGACCCCCCACAGCTGCTGGGACCCTCCTGCTCCTGGGAGGACAAGGGTCTGCACTGCAGCTGCTCCTCCCGGGCCAAGCCAACACCCTTGCTGGGCTGGCGGCTGGGGGAGAGGCTGCTGGAGGAGAACCTCAGCAACACCTCCTACAGAGTCACCTCCAGCTCCGCGGGGCCCTGGGCCAACAGCTCCTTGATCCTCCCTGCGGGGCTCAGGGCTGGCCTCAGACTTACCTGTGAGGTGCAGAATGTCCATGGGGCCCAGAGCGCCAGTGTCCTGCTACTGCCAGGTCAAGGGTGTGCTGGGGGCAGAGGCTGAGGGAGAAAGGAAGCGACCAAAGGGAGAACGAAATTGGGAAGAACAAAATTGGGGAGAGCGTCTGTGGTCAGGAGTGGCATGATTTGCTAGCACGGGGCCCTCTGTCTGGTGTCTGAACAGAACCTACACTGGTGCTGCAAGAATGTGGGAAGACACGACACTTAGTCCTGCGAGTGGGTGGTCTCATGTCCTCTTCTCTGCAGGGCAGTCGGCATCGGCTTCCAGAGTGGTTCCTGCGGCTCTTGGAGGTGCTGGTGCCATGGCTCTCCTGTCCCTATGTCTGTGCCTCATCTCCTTTTGCATGTAAGTCCATGTGCTGGGGAAGTACAGGGAGCCACATCATGGGGAATATGGAGAGAGGCCCCAGCACCCCAGAAAAGCAGAGCTGAGTCCCTACAGAGGGCCCCTTTTGGAGGTGAGATGGCACAGCAGCTTTATTGAGATAAAATGTCCATATATTTAATGTGTGCAAGTCAACACTGTTTAGTTCAGTCCTGAAGTCGTGCACCCATCACCACAATCAATTTCAAAACTTTTCCTTTAGATCCAAATGAAAAAACAACCCATGTCCCTTATTCGTCATTTTGCTACCATCCTTCCCTCCGCTCCAGGCAACCAGTAATCTAATTCTTCTCTCTCTTAATTTGCCCTTTCTTGACATTTCCTATCATTAAAATCATACAATGCATGGTCTTTTATGACTGACTTTTTCACATACCATATTTTCAAGGTTCACATATTAATATTTTATTTCTTTTTATTTCCAACTAATATTCCAGGGTATGGATAGGACACATTTTACCTGTCTCTTCATTCATGGAAGGATAGTTGGGTTGTTTCTAATTTTGGGCTCTGAGGAATAACACTGTTATAGCTCGTGCATAAGTTTCTCCCTGTGTAGGGGCCTATCACGATGTAAGTTTAGTCTTGGCCAAACACCTGGTTGTCCAGGAGATGGAGCACTCACTTTCATGTCAGAAGGTCTCTGAGTCAGGTCCTGGGATCTGGATGCCTCAGTGGTCTTCTCAGGAAGTGGAGGCAGCCTGCCCACCTGTGCCTGAGCCATTGTGGCTCCTGACTTCTTCCCTTAGAGTGAAATTGCGCAGGAAGCAAACAGGCAGGAGACGAAAGATCACGAATGATGAAGACCCTGTCATGGGCACAGTCCCTTGGGTGAGTGATATGGGTCTCTTCTCGTGAGGTAGAGGGGGAGGGGCTGGGCATGTCCATTCACTGAGTGCAAAGTGGGCTGCTCAGCATTTCCCCAAACCCGCTCCTCTGTGGTCAGCTGGACAGACAGCTGGGAGGTGAGTTCTCCTTCATCTACTGGGGCCCTTGGTTAGTCTTGTGCCCCAGCCTTGCTGACCACTCTGCCCTCTTCACCTCCCTGCTGGGTACAGGTTGCCAGAACCTCTCCCCCCACAAACTATTACTTTTCACCTGTTCTTGGCTTGTTAATTCACTTCTCCTCACTTCAGTTTCCCTATCTGTAAATGGAAATAATAAGAGTATCATTTATATTTGGTTTCTGTGAAGATAAAATGTGATTATTAAGACCTGCATATGGTCTAATCATTTGTAGTATTACAATATTTTATTCATTTTATTTTATTTATTTACTTCTAGTGAGAGGGGAAGGGAGGTAGAAAGAGAAGGAGAGAAACATTAATGTGAGACAGATTCAGTTGCCTCTCACATGCCCCAAGCTGGGGGACTCAGTCCACAACCCACGCATGTGCCCCGACTGGGAATCAAACCAGCAACCTCTCAGTTCACAAGCCGGTGCTCAGTCCACTGAGCCACACCAGCCAGGGCAGTATTACAATATTTTAAATGAATGAGCAAATAATTGAGTTCATAAGAAATGGGTATGGAATAAGGGGATGAATGAAAAACTGTTCCATCAGCCCATCTTTCCATTAGGACCATGCCTGCCTTATTTTCTCTCCAACTTCCTTGTCTTCCCTTCACTTAGGGTTCACAGCAAAAGTCCCAGCCAGACAGGCCCCCAGACCAAGCATTGCCTGCCAGGGATATCCCTCCAACAGGGGAACAGCAGGAGCTCCACTACGCCAACATCGGCTTTCACGGGTTGAAGCCATGGGATCCCCGGGACCAAGAGGCCACCAGCACCTCCGAGTACTCAGAGATCAAGAGGACAAGCCAATGAGGACTCGCTCAGACCTTGGTCCTGGCTGGAGGCATCACAGCCTCTCTGGGGGAAAGAAGTCGGGGACTAGCTGGTGAAGCATGAGGAGACCTTGTGCAACATTAACATTAACCACTGTAAGAGCATCTGCAGGCAGAGAAGAAAGAAGAAAGGTGACAAGATTGGAGAGACAGGGGCTGACGCACAGGCTTTGGCACTTCCTTTGGCATTGTCTTCCGGCGATTCACTTCCTTTTTCTGTTTCTGTTTTCCATTCTGTACAGCAGAGATCCCACATTCTACTCAAAGGTGGCTGTGAGCATTAAAGAAATTAATGGAAATTAATTGATGGAAATTAACACATGGAAATCAACCAACAGAGGCCTTTAATGCTCAGCTCTCCCATTGGGTTCCACCATCCACTGGAGTTGGGTCTGAATTTCTTAAGACCACTTGGGTGGTGTAAAGAAAATCTAAAATTATCCTTTCCCAGAGTGTTCACTGGTTTCCATTGGAGGATGGATCTCCCCAAGTCACCAGGACCAGTTCTGACTGTGGTGGTGTCCTGGGTGACCTTCCTCTTGACTTAAACAGCATCTGCAAGGTGATCACTTTAGAGTCACATCTGGACAAGCCTCTCAGCCTCTGGAGGCCCTGGGATAGCCACCTGCCATGTTGGGGTGAGGTGAGACAGGATGATTTCTCAGCCTTCACAGCACCCCCACATCTTGTGAAGCTCAAGTTCCCCTTCCAGGCCTGGCCACAGCTGTCACACAGGGTTTCCTGTTGGGGCATTGTGGGTCCCGACCCACATCTGCGGACTTCCTTCCCTCACACAGGGACTGGGACTTGCACTGCCCTGTCAGATGCAGACACGGTGTCCCTGCTGCTGCCCCTTTTGTGGGGGTTGGGTTTCGAGTGAGCCCAAGTAATGGTGGAGGTCATGTGGGGGAGGGGTGTGGGTTGCAGCTGAGCCTCTGTGTCCCCCCAGGGTCCCTGCAGGAGGAGCCAGGCTATGAGCTCCAAGTGCAAGAGTCAGTGAGGGTGCAGGAGGGTCTATGCAGCCATGTGCCCTGCTCCTTCTCCTACCTGTGGTGTTCTCATTATCCCTCTTCCAAACTCTACACCTACTGGCTCTCTGGTGTGGGGGTCAGTCCATGCCTGAAACTCCTACGCCTGGGTCACCTGGATCACATCCATGGTGTTTTCCTCTTGGTGTTCAGTCATTGGTCCTATCACCTGGTGTGCTTGTAAATTTTTTATTGAATAGTGGGTATTTCGTGTGAAAAATTGTAGAGATTTGGAGGCTGTGGTTGAAAAGTTTTCCCTCTGGATTCTAGAACAGTCTAGAATAGCACTGCAGAACGGAATTTTCTGTGATAGAAATGTTCTGTATCTGTGCTGTTCACCTGGCTACATGTGGCTATGAAGCCCTTGAAACGTGTTTAGTATGACGGAAGAATGAAGCTTTAAATTGAATTTGAACCAATTTAAATGTAAATTGGATCATGTGGGTAGGGCTGCCCCACTTTCGCTGCCTGGGAAGCAGATAGAGTATATTAATCCAGTGTCAGGTTGAATTTGAACATGGGTTCTGGTCTTCTTGTGAATAGGCCTACCTGCCCATGACCCTTACTCTAATTCGTAATTCTGTTGGGTCCTAAGTGAGGTATTTATGGGGCCTCTCCTTCTCCGGAGACCCTGAACATCAAATTTTGTTTACTCGGTTCCATGACAGCCCAGGGGCTATTTGAACACATTGCGCTCACCTCAATGAACACATTAGGCTCACCTTAATGCTCTTTCCTGCTCTCCAGGATTTTGGCACCTGAATCCCAATGGCCTCAGGAGCCCCAGATGCCATTTCTGTCTCCATCCCCACGATGCTGCTCAAAATTCAGCTCAGGTTTTCAGCCTCTTAGTGTGAGCTTTCTGGCCATTTCTTTAGTCCTCTGGCCCCTCCTGCAAGTTAAACTTCCCTTTTCTCTGAGATTGTGGTTTCTATTTGGTGTCTTCGAATAAATTGTTTCGTGTGTGTGTGTGTGTGTGTGTGTGATTTCTTTGCATTTGGTTTCGCTATAAGGATTCTTGACATGAGATATTCCATCATGGCTAGAAACCTCCGTGACTTTATTTTGGTCTCTAACCCGTCACCTCCTCAAAGAAGCCCTGACCTCCCCAAATCAAACAGCTCCCTCCATAGCCTTTCCCCTCCTGTTCCTTCATTTTCTGAGCATAGCACTTATCATCAGGCCTCACAGTATGTATTTACTTCTCTTAGTCTCTTCCCGCAAGACTGTAAGCTCCACAAGTGAGACATTGTGTCTTTTTCATCAACCCATGTATACATTAGGGGCTCCATAAATGTTGAAAGAATGCTGCTGTGTTACCTGGTGGGGAGGGAGATTTGGTCTCTGCCCTGAAAGCCCAGTCTAGTTGGGAGAAATGACACCCAGAAACTGTGGATCGGCACAAAGGAGGGCCGGACCCAGGGGATGGGGTGTGGGCCAGGTGGAAGAATCAGGGAGTCTCCCAGGAAGACCTTGGAGGATTTGAGCAGGAGGATGGGAAAGGGAAGGCAATATTGACTCAGGAGCAGCCTAGGAAAGCTGAGAAGTGGGGCTGAAAACACCACGTCTCCCCAGGGGTCCAGCAGGAAGCTTGTGGGCTTAAGGCCTGCTTGGACCAGCAAAGTGGCAATCCTGAAACCCAGAGCCCCTGGTGTCCAAAGCTTAATGCGAACAACCAAGCTGGCACCATTTATGGAGCGCTTCATCAAATCCTCACAACAGTGCTTCGATTCCATTTTCAGGGGAGGAAACTGAAGACCAGAGAAGTTAAATCACTGACCCGGGCTCACTCAGCTCGGCCTCCAGAAGCTGAGGTCTGGGAAACCCACCCAGCTGCTCCTCATCCATCACAGAGCCACCAGGAGGGATTCAGGTGTGAGGGGGTGGGGGGCAAGAGCCCCAGGCAGACGCTGGTGTGAGCCCCCAGTTCCGTCCCTCTCCATCCAGGCGACCTCAGGACAGTTGCTGGTGCTCAGGCTACAGCCAATGAGACGGTGGGAATGAACTGAGGGGGTGGGGCCTGCGGCGTGCACAGGGCTCGGAGAAGCACCAGGATTACAGTGAATGACGCGTGCCCATCAACGCCGTCATTCCCTGCAACAGGCAAACAGGAAACGTCTGCGCACAGCAGGTGCTCAGGAAGGGCTGGGGCTGGCGGAGAACCTGGAAGGGGTACGAGGCAAGCAGCCCCCCAATTCGCACTCGCTCGGGAGTGGGAAGTTCTTCGGCCCCCTCCTCCCTCGGACCCAGGGGCTCAGGCCCCAGCTCCCGCAGGGTCACAGCTCAGCGGTTCCGTCCCCCTCCGGACTTCACACGGAAGCCCTGGGCAAAGGTAACTGGGGTTTATTCACAGTGTCATTTACAGGCTCCCTGAGCTCCCAGGTCGGATCCCAACAGAACACTGTGGTCCCTAGAAGGAGGGCACGGCCTCGGAGGCTGGGGCCTGGACCTGCTCCCGAGGCGCCCCACGCGGCCCCATCTCGTCCAGCCCCCGGCGGCCCTTGCCGATGGCCAGGCGGGGCCGGCCGCGGTCCAGGCCGTCCAGAAGGGCGCAGGCCTGGCAGAGCGCGCCGCTGGCCAGCGCCCCGCAGCGGGAGCAGGTGCGGGCGGGCGGGGGCCGGGCCGAAGGGGCCAGCGCCAGGCGCTCCGCCGAGTGCACCAGGTCCAGCACCGCCGAGGGGCGCGCGGCCTCCAGCAGCTTGAGCAGGTCGCGCGCGTGGCCGCGGAAGGCCTCGGGCGCGTAGACGCACTCCTCGGAGAAGTAGTCCAGGCGGCGGAAGTGCGCGTACAGCACCACCTCCTTCTGCGAGGCCAGCTGCAGCGGCCGGCAGCGCGGCAGGGCGCCCCCCTCGCCCGCGGAGCCCAGGCCCCCGCCCCGGGCCAGCCGGCCCACGTCGCCCCGCAGGAAGTTCATGAGCACGGTCTCCGCCATGTCGTCGGCGTTGTGACCTGGGGGAGAGAAGGGGAGCAGGTCAGGAGGGGGCGCGGGGGGCTGCTGGTCATGGGGACACCGTGGGGCAGCCAGAACCCAGAGAGTCGGGGAGGGGCACGGCGAATGGCAAAGAGTGGGTGACCCCGCCATGGGGACACCCTCCCCGCCCCCCCAAAAAAAAACTTGTGGAGCAGCCAGAACTCAGAAAGAGACCGGCAGGTGGGGGCAAGGGGTGCAGGCCATGGCGGCCCCGGGGACCGTGGGGCAGTCGGTGAAGGCGGAAGGTGGACACAGCAAGAAACAGGAGAGGACAGACATGGGCTCCCACGGAGCAACTGGGGTGCCCTCACCGCCACCCACCGACGGGGCCAGGCAGGCCCTGGACTAGATGCCCTTTCACGGAGGCAGTAAAGTGCTTTACGCTACAGACATCATGCCAGCCTCAGTTAAAAGTGTGCTTCAGACCGAACGGGAGGAGCCGAAAGGGCACCTAACGGAGACCCTCAGCAGCGCTGGCGACACAGGTGCTTCTGCAAAGGCGGATGGCGGGAAACCGACGACCGAACAGTCGCCACAGAATTTAAGCCAAATCCCTGTTTCCTCCGCATCCTCTCATCTTACACCCGAGTCTCTGCAGTAAAATACGGCTCTTCTCGGGGCTTCTCCATCGGCCCCACATCCTCGCCTCGGGGCCTTTGCATAAGCGGTTTCCTTTGCTCAGAACCATCTCTCCAACCTCCATTCATCCCTCACTAGTCACCCACGCAGCCTTCAGGTCCCGGCTCACCCAGAAACGCTTCCTTAGTCCCCGCCTTTCTCTTCCCACTGGGTCCTCCTGCCACAGACTCACGAAGGTTAATAATTTTCCTGGTTAGCACTCAGGTTGCAGTGAGCGCGTGAGAATCGGGCAGAAGCAGGGACTGGGTTGAGCCTAAGAGCGAAGGTTTGAATCAGGGTCACTGCTTTCCAGCCTCCGGTCTAAGTGCTCCACACATCTAGTTCTCAGCATCTCCGGGACCCAGATGGTGTTAATGCCCCCGTTTAACCAAAGAGGAAACCGAGGTTTGGAGCTTTGCTCTGGGCTACACGGCTTGAATCTGGCACACAGTAAATGGCCAATATTCATTTGTTGAAGTAATGACTGGGAGAGAAGAGAGTTATCAGAGAGGTGAAGCCGAGGGAGAAAAGGAGTTAAAAGACCCCGCTGCGTTGGAGATGACAGAAGGGAGACACCCCTGCACGCCCCTCCTTTTGTGAGGGGAAACCTACAGAATGACATTTAAAAATGTGGAGAACCACAGCCCTAAGAGAACCCCGCCCCGGCTCTCCATTTGCTATTATTTGTGTGCGCGTGCGCACCCAGGTGACTACAATGACTCAAAATCTTGCCACGCCTGCCCCACACCGTCCCACGGACCCGCACATACCACGGCCCTGAACTATGCTAGACCCGCCACTTATGACACACCCAGGGGCGCCTTTTCACTTCTTGGGCGTGAGCCTCAGCCTCCTTCCAGCGCCCACCCTTGCCCGAGCACGCGCCCGATCCTCCCACAAAGTCCCTGCTATCCCAGCGCGTGAGTTCACCTGTCACGATGTGCGTGGCTCCCACGAGACGCGCCCCTTCCTCTAGCGCCCGGCGCCGCAGCACCCCGCAGAAGGTGCAGCAGGAGCGGCTGCGGCCTGAGCCAGCCGTGCTGCGGGCCACGGCGTCCATCGTCCAGCCCCCGAAGAGGTCAGCGTAGGCCACCACGGTGAGCGGCAGCTCCCAGCGCGCCGCCTGGCGCCGCACTGCCGCCAGCGCCGCGTCCCGGTAGCCGCCGATGCCCTCGTCCACCGCCACCAGTTGCAGCGAGATGCCCAGGCGGGGCGCCAGTTCGCGCAGCACGTGGGCCAGCACCGTGGAGTCCTTGCCACCCGAGGCGCCCACAGCCACCACGGCGCCGCGAGGCAGCAGGCGGCCCGCTACCACCGTGTGCAGCACCTCGGCCTCGAAGGCGGCGCAGAAGCAGGTACGGCACAGCGCTTGGCCGGAGCGCGGGCGGCGCAGGGCCGCGCGGGCCTTGCCGCAGGAGGCGCATGGCGGGGCCGGCATTGCGCGGTCTGGGCTGGGTGAGAGGGGTCCGCTTCTCCTGGACTGGGAGAGAAGGGAAGCCGGTCACAGGTCGACTCAGAATTGTGGGGACGCTGCCTCCAGGGAGGCCGCGTGGATAGCGCTCAGAGTAAACCCATTGCCTGGAATACTTTCCCCCTCAGCACTGCAGGCCATGCACCTTCACATCTCAGCTTAAGCTTCCATTCATTCCACAAATACCAACTCAGTGGATCCTGAGCACTGGGGACACAGTAGTGAACAAACGGAAAAGGTTGCAGGCAAAAAGTTCTAGTGAAGCAACCAACCCATGGGTATGGAAGAAATAACCAAGACACATTTAAGCCAATGAGGAGGAAGATGAGGAAATTATCATCTGAGATGAAGCCAGAAGAATGAGAAGTCAGGCATTAGATCAGGATGGGAAGAATGTGCCCGATAGAGTTACCAGCAAGCGCAAAGAATGTGAAGGGAAGGGCCTGTCTGTATTCGGTTGGTTGGAAGATGTGTTGAGACTGAACAGAAGAGACGCAGGGGGTTGACGGTTGTCAGGATGAGAAGCTCGGGCTTTTTCGTAATGAGATAGGAATTAAGGGATGGTTTTAAGCCGCGGAGTGACTGGGTGTGATTTATATGTTAACAAGATCCCTCAGGCTGAAGTGTGTGAGTGGCCAGGGCAGACCACTGAGGAAGCTCCTGCAGGGACCCACTAGGTAACAAGGAGCCACTCGGAGCAGAGTGAAGGCAGTGCAAGCAGAGAGACGTGGTGGGATTCTGGATGTCTTCTAAAAATAGAGCAGATGGGATTCACTCAAGTCGTGGTTGGGGGAGGTACATGGATGGGGGAAACAGAAAACTCGGGACAAGCCCAAGGTTTTGGCATGAACAGATGGAAGGACAGTGGGACCATCTGGTGGGGAAGAGGCGAGAAATAGGTAAGAATGGGGAACTTGTATGAGAGGGGTAGGTTTAGGACAGAGTCTGGAATTTCATTTGGGCACGGTAGAGTTGAGGCCCTTTGCTCTGGAACTCTTGCCTGAACCCAGGGCTGGGTCTGGCGCCTCCCTTGGGCTCCAACGGCCGCCTTGATCGCCCCCTTGGCCAGCCCTGACCACTGTAGACTGTAACCTGGACAGAGGAGAGTGCGCTCGCACTGCACCCAGCCGCTGAGTGCTAAGCGGATCAGCAGGGGCACTGGCTGCTTGGAGCACCTCCCACCTGGAGGGCCGCTGGGCGGGGATCGCGTAGAGGAGTGCCACCCTACGGGATACGAGGGAGAGAACAATGGAGACCATCAGCTCCGACACAGCAGCGCAACAAAGGACCAGGACCATTCCCCACAGGAGGGGGTACACTCACCTGAGCTGAATCTGCGCTAGTGGAAGGTCCAGGCTCCCAGAAAACGCGGAGGTAGGTGAACAGACTACGACTCCCAGAAGGCTTCAGGTCTACCGGCCTACAACTCCCAGGTGCCCGTGCGGCACTTTGGCGTTAAGCGCTCACTTTTCGGGGACTGGAGGGCCTCCTATGACGTCACGGGCTCCGCCGGTGCTCTCGGACAGCTCCAGGCGTGTCTAGCTTATTTCTCGTCTGCGCATGCGCGGGAGTTGACGGGGCGTCGGTTGCGCGTGCGCGTCTCTGCGTACGGTGCAGCGTGCAGTGTATTTCAAAGGCGCCGTGGTTGTGTTTCAGATTTCGTGCTTTCTTGGGAGAATGGGCTTCAGGGCGGCGGAGAAAGGAGTGGGATGGGAAAGGGAGGGCCAGCGCGTGCTCTGGACTGGTTCGGAGGGGACGCTGGGTGGTCCGCGGCGCGCGCAGCCTCCTCGTGGCAGGCGGGTGAGTGCACGTAGGGATGGTTTCCGGTTAGCGGTTCTGTGCACCCGCCCCGGCCTTGGGGTGTGGGCCCAGCGGGCAGGCGTGGGTCGGTAACCAATGCGCGCGCAATTCTGCCCTGTGGAGTTAAAGGCGGACGTCGGGATGAAGGGCAGGTGAGACCCGTGAAACGGAGGGTTTTCCGGGGTACAGCCCCCCAAACTAAAAGGGGGCCTATCCGGGTCTGAGCCCTTAGCCTCCTTCCAGGCCCCAAAGCGCCCCCTTTTCTGCGTGTTACTTTCTGAGTTTCTTTTGCGTCTACTCCTGTGAAGCCCTTGATAGGGAAGATTGAGAGCGAAGGGCATCTGTTGTAAAGGTTGAATCCTGGTCGTCATACTCATCCATTTGTTGATCATTTCATTTCCTGGGGTCCTTCTTGTGAGGCACAGGTGTATCGGGCCTGGTTGGGGAGGGAGGGATGACAAAGCTTGATGTAGAGGCACCTGAGTCAGGGGCTGCAGGAGCCCAGAGGCTACAAGCGCTCTAGCCAGGACATGGGGGGCTGGAAGGAGGTCAAGAGCACTTAATGAGCAGTCAGCATGTGCCAGATACTGTGCGCTAGACATCCCACACACCATCTCAGGTTCCTCATCTGGGAAGTGGGGACGACAGTAATAGGGCCTGCTCCTAGAGTGTTTGGGAAGATAAATGAATTAACATGGAAAGTGTGTGTTAACCAACAGTGAACTTTTGCTATCTTCATCTCATGCAATTCTCATCATCGGGGAAGGCTTCCTTTTCTTGGGAAGGCCTAAGGTTTCTTGTAAAGTCAGGCAGTGAGGTAGGGGGTTTAAAACCTCAGGCAATCAACAGATAGTCTCTGTCAGTTCTCAGTTGGTGATTTTCGCCCCCCCCCCCGCCCCCCACAGAGACCTTTTGGCAATTTTTGGTTGTCACAACTAGGGGGCAAGGGAAGGGCCCTACCACTGGTATGTGGTAGGGCCAGGGGTGCTGCTCAACACCGTGCACAGGAAGCCCTCCCATAAAAGTTATGGGAGGGCCAAAAACAATACTAGGGCCAAGATTGGGGAACCCTGGCCTAAGTGGTATTCTGCTGTACCTTGGTCGTCTGTTCAAAAACTAGTGTACAGATCGGGTGTTTCTGTGTTGACTTTAGTCTCCCGCTTTCACAGTTTCCTTAATATGTAAGCACATGTCCACATGACTCACATACTTTTGAGTGAGAAGTTAGTAAAGAAGGTTCAGCTCACACTGGGTATCTGTGAAGAAAAGAGGATGTGAAAGTCAGCATTCCCTGGGTGACTAAGCCTACTTCTTTGTGTGACCCTGAATAAGTGGCTTAACCTTTCTGTGCTTTCTGCCCAATGGGGGGTGATGACAGCAATTCTCGGAAGAACTGAGTTAATATATGTAAAGCATTAAGACTGGTGCCTGGTGGTATGTCAGTGCTGTGAAGGGCGGGGTGGGGGGCGGGTTGCAGCGGTTTGGTTCTTCATGTCAGTTATTTGGGGTAATGGTAACTGGCCGTGCTGAGAACTGGGCCAGTGTTCCCCACCAGTGGGCACAGTTTGGGCAGAGGTTTCTCGTGGGTGCTTTGCAAATATTTGGCATTTCATTTGTTGCAACACAGTAGTTTAATATCTGAGGGGAAACGACTGTGTCAGTGTCAGGAAGGCAGATGACTGTCTGCAGCTTCTTGGTTGCAGGGTAACGGTCAAGTTCCTCAGTCTGGTGTTTGTGACCTGACCCCCGACGACTTTTCTAGATTCATCTCATGACTGAACCTCTGAAAGGGCCCACATTTGCCAGTGAAATAGCTTTTTCTGCCAGGTGTTTGCACATGCTCTCTCCTCTTCCTGAAGACTGTCTGTCCCCAACCTCCCCCATCACACTGATTTCAGTTTCTCAACCAGGTATCCACTTGGTTGGGCTTCCTCCAGGAAGCCCACAGGACCCCTCCTCCCCTGCACTGGATTAACACCTGTGGGCTCCCACAGCCTCTGGTCCCTCACTTTGTCATAGGCCCCGTCACCTTGGGCTGTGGCTGTCTCTGTCCCGTTCACTGTCTCTTTGGGTTGAGGACACCTTGACGAAGGGGTTTGGCGGGATCTGAATCTGGGACTCCAGCATCAGTGAGCACACGGCCTGGCACAGAGCAGGCAAGCTCTTCAAGGCCCTTCCTGAGCTGCTCCTGGCTGACATTGCTTGTCTCCTAGTACCTGCGCCCTACTGGATACAAAGCTCAGGCCGGAAGCTGGCTATGGGGTGGGGTGTGGTGGTTGAGGACAGAGGTGCCTGACTCAGGCCCTGGGACTTCCATCCTACCTGTGTAACTAAACACATTACACTTCCCCACCTGTAAGAGAGAAGGAAGAATAGTATAGCCCTCATAGGGTTAGAGCACTGGATACCCACAAGACTATTTTGCCTGTTGCTCTTGGGTTGGGAGGTACTGGCATCCAGTAGGTAGAGGCTGGGAATGTTACGAAATGAACCCACAGGACAGCCCCCTCAGCAAGGAACCTAACTTGTCCAAAATGGCAGTGCCTCAGTTAAATGCTTAGGCCTCTTGGGCCATAGTTAGTGCTCTGTAGATACTACTTACCAATATTGCCAGTGCTTCAGCAACACTAAGCTCTCTGGTGCCTCCGTCTCTTTGCCCAGGATGCCCTTCCCCCACTTGACATGAGGGTTGAATATCTACACATCCATCAGGACCTATCCAGAAAAAACACCTCTTCGGGGAAGCCTTCCCTGACCTCTCCCAAGAACTCAACCTGGCAGTAGAAAGAAGGCACACACACGGGCCAGGGCACACATTCAAGGGTTTTACACCTGAGTGACTATAGGCAGATGAGTTCTGTTTGTGCCTCAGTATTCTTATCAATGAGATCAAGGAGTGCCTTTGAGAATGAAATGGGTCAGCCCTGGGCAAATGTTTAATTAATGGCAGGATTTCCTTATTAGTCTGTAAAACCTAAAAGCTTAGTGTTGGTTCACATCCGGGGGAATTCCTAAATATGTTTTTTTAGTAAGATTAGCTATGGAATAGGAACTAGCAAACTTATCTACCACAGAGAGGCTTAAGAAGAAAACTGTTTATGTGCTATTTACGTGATGCTCACATATTCGAACTAAAGATTCAGAAAGTGGGAAAGTAAAAGGGTGGGAAGAGATAAGAAAATAACCCCAAGAAACCTAAATTTAGCTACACTATCTACAAAACAAAACAGATTTTGAGTTAAAAGGCACTATCAAAAATAACCTGGATGATGAAAACAAAACAAAAAAAAACCCCTCTAAACTTGGATGCACCAAACAACATAGTCCCAAAAGGAATGAAAGTTAACAGGATGACTAGAAATCAACACATTCCAGTAGCTTTGTGACATTATATCTCAGTTGAGTGGGAAAAAACTATAAAGCTATGGAAAATTTTAACAAGACCACCAACAGGCTTGAACTAATGAGTGGAAATGGAACCCTGTGCCCAGAGTGATTTGAGAACGTAGGTTTAGCCAGGAACACATGGAATCTACAGAAGCCCTAGGCATAGGTGTTCAGGGTGGTGCCCACTGGCCACATGTGACTAAGGACCATTTGAACTGTGGCCACTCTGAAGTGAGCTGTGCCATGAATGCATAATACATACCAGATTAAAAGACTTCGTGTGGGAAAAGGATGTGATGTCTTAACCACTTTTATCTCAACTGCATGTCAAAATGGTAATTTTTAAAGCTTTTATTTTTAGAAAGGGTTAGGGAATGAACAAGAGGGAGAGAAACATCAGTGTGTGCTCGCCTCTCATACACCCCTCACCGGGGACCCAGAGAGTTACCTGATGGGGGCTTCTGGATGCTTTGGTTTCTAGACTTCCCCACTTGTGTTTTCTGGAGAGAGTGGGCTTGGAGAGTTTGTGACTTAGGTCAGCCAAAGGTGCCTTCTGCCTCAGCCTGTCCCTCTAACCACTGATTCCCTCAGTCTGACTCAGAAAACAGCTGGGCAGGGGGCACATGTTAGAACTGACCAGGAGGAAAAGGAACCAAGCGGTCCAGACGCCCCAGGGGAGATCCCCCTGGATGTCCCAGACTGCACTTGGCTCCTGAGGGGTGTGCAAGCACACTGTGGCAGCCAGACAGCCTTCTGCCTACAAGTGGAAATACAACTATTTTGGGGTTTCTTTACTATTTAAAAAACAAATAGTCCCAATGTCACTTGGGAAATGTGAGTGCACTGTACTAATTTGAATCATGTAACATGCATGGGAGTTGCTGCTAGTTTAAGATATCAGAAAAAAAGTTGTTTTTTTTTTGAAAATTTTATATAACTGGGAAACAAAAAATATATACAATTGATTTTATTATACTTGTTTAATCTTTCAAGAGTAGTGGAATAGCCTATTTATTTTTTTTTTGTGAAAAGGAAACAAAATGTTTATTTAATGCTATTCAGGCCTAATGCCACCACTAAATATCAAAGTCCTTTATGTATACACCTACACCCACACAGCGCTCCCTTTTCCCACAGTCCCAACTCCGGGTACCGTAAATCAGGAAAAGAGCACACGTCTGTATTGCAGGCTGCTGGCACCGTCAGCTGGGTCACTG